GGGGGAGGGGCGGGGGGGCGCGGGGCGCAGCGAGAGGGGGAGGGGCGGGGGGTCACGGGCCGGGGGGGCGCAGCGAGAGGGGGGAGGGGCGGGGGGGTCACGGGCCGGGGGGGCGCGGGGCGCAGCGAGAGGGGGGAGGGGCGGGGGGTCACGGGGCGGGGGGGTGCGCAGCGAGAGGGGGGGGGACCGCCCAGGGACAGACCCCCCCCCCCCAGAGGGGCGAGTTCCCAGCCCCCCTTGGCTGCAGGGCCCACATCCGCTGGCAGCCCCACAGGCCCCTGGGGCGGGCCCCGGGAGCTGGGGGGGGCACGCTCCGGGGGGGGGAGACTTGTGTGTAGCCCTGGTTCTGCTCCCCCCCCCAGCGCCTCTGACCCAGTTTCTCTCCCCCTCCCCCAGACCAAGAAGAGGCGGAACAACGGGCGCGCCAAGAAGGGCCGCGGGCACGTCCAGCCCATCCGCTGCACCAACTGCGCCCGCTGCGTCCCCAAGGACAAGGCCATCAAGAAGTTCGTCATCCGGAACATCGTGGAGGCCGCCGCGGTCCGGGACATCTCCGAAGCCAGCGTCTTCGATTGTGAGCCCCTGGGGGGGCCGGTGCGGGGCCGGGGGGTGTCGTGGCGCTGGGGAGCGGGGCCAGCCCCAGCTGCAGCCTGTGTTACCAGGGACAGTCCAGGAGTTCGGGCACCAGCTGGAGACCTGGTTCCACTTCCTCAGTTTGCTTCTCTGTACAATGGGGACAGTCGCAGCACCCGCCTCCCAGCGGCGTGAGGGGATAAATACAGTCCAGGGGGTGAGGTCCTCGCACACTGCAGGGGTGGAGGCCAGATGAATACCATAGGGAGTGGATGGAGAAGGGTTGTCCTCTTAACTCAATCCAACATAACATGGCAGTGAAGAGACGCCCGAGCTTGTGTGACGCTGGCGTGTCTCCCGGCCCGGGGCTGAGGCTACGTGCTGAGCTGGCCGCGTACTAGTGGAGCAGTTAAGCGCTCTGCAGATGAATGAGACTCTGCCTCTTGGCGAGGGCCCCAGAGCACTTTATTGCCCGTCTAGCTGGGCAAAGTGGTCTCACCCTCGTTATGCTGGGGAGGAGGCAGAGACAGAGCTGAACTCATTTGCCAAAAGCTGCAAGAAGGTGGGCGGCGAAGGTGGATGTAGAACCCAGGTGTCCTGGCTGCTTGCTCTAACCATTAGGCCCCTCTGTAGCAAAATGGTGCCTGGGGTTTCAGGTGGGGCTTCTGGTCCCCTGACAGGCGCCTGTTGGGGTGGAAGTCCCAGACCAGGAGCCATCGGGAGGTCCAGCATTCCTGCCAAAAAGCAGTTGCAGGGAAGCAGCGGGAATGGGACCGGTTTGTGCTCCAGGGCGCACCTGGGGGGCATGGGATGAGCAGACTGTAGCAGCGTTACCTTGACTAAGGAGCTGAGCCCACCGTCACTGCATGTCCCGTCATGCAGCGCTCCGCGCCGGCAGGGCCTTGCTCTGAGCGTGGCTGCCCTGTGTGTAATCTCTGGCTCCACCGTCGGCTCTGCGGCATCCTAGCTCGCCTGGGGCTGGGGCGACACTAACCGATCCCTCTGTAGCTGGACTGGAACTGGGGAAGCTGCGGCTTCTGGCTGCTGATTTACGCCTCTCCCATCTCCCCAGCGTACGTGCTGCCCAAGCTGTATGTGAAGCTGCATTACTGCGTCAGCTGCGCCATCCACAGCAAGGTGGTGAGGAACCGTTCCCGGGAGGCCCGGAAGGACCGTACCCCTCCGCCCAGGTTCAGGCCCGCGGTACGTATTGTGCACAGATCCCTCCAGCCTGGCAGGCCAAGGGCGGGCACTTCGGAGCTCATTGCATCCCTCTGTTCCTCCCCCAATTCCCATCCCCCTGTGGCTCAGGGACTCCTGCCAACCCCCTGCAAACTCTTCTCTGCCAGAGATGGTGGCGCCTCCCACACCAGAGTCCCCCATTCACCCTCCGTGCCAGTGACTCGGTGTCCACCCCATTGCTCTGCAGGGCAATGATCAGAGCTGCCCGCCGAGGCATCACAGCACAGAGCTAGCAAGCCGTGAGGAGCCGGAATTGACTCGCACCTGAGGCCGGTGACTCTCTGTGGAATAGTCTCTTCAGAGGAGAAGCCCCCTGTGCTTGGGACACTAGTGAACGTGTAGTGAGGGGAGCAGGGACCAAGGGGATTGGCCCATGTGGGTAACGGGGATAGGTCGTTATCACGTGTGACACGTCCTGCATGTCTACCCACTGCTGGGTTCTTCCACCTTCCTCGGGAGCATTTGGCTTTGGCCACCATCAGAGACGGGTGGGGAGGTAGATGGATCTCGGGTCCGCTCCAGTCTGGCGGTTCCTCTTTCCCTGCCTGGAGTCAGAGCACTGAGCCTTCGGCTGAATGTGTCCTAACGTTCTCCTTTCTCTTCCCCTCTAGGGCGCTGCCCCGAGACCTCCCCCCAAGCCCATGTAAGGAGATGGGGCTGGAAATGCGCATCTTGAGACATTGCCTCAATAAATGACTTTACATCTGGTCTGTGGGTGCGAGTCTGTGTGGGGGGAGGGGGGAGACTGCACCGGGTCCTCGCACTCGCTGGGAGCTTGTGGGCGGACAGCGACTGTTACTCTGGAAACAAGCGGGTGAGGATTAGATGCCCTCTGGGGTGGCAGGGCTCCCTCTGCTGACTGTGGGGGGCAGGACTTTGGCTTTATGGACAGATCCCAGCTCACGGGATGGGGCGGGGGGGCTCTCTTGTTTGTCAGCAAAGCATCCCAATAACTGGCTGTGGCCTCCCAAACTGCGCTCAGGGGTCTCTGTGCTGGGGTGATGGCAGGTGTTGACAGGACCCCACAGTGTAAAATGGAACCTTAGGCTGGAGTTTTTTGCATGGAAGGCTGAAGGTCCGTCGGTACCGCCGGGGGTGTGTGTGGATATTTTGGACTGTGGGTGTTACCTGCTGTTGTGGCACAACTTTGGGGGGTGTCAGTGCCGCCAAGAGCTCCATCAAATCCACATCGTCCAAAAATGCAGGACCAGGAGAACACTGAAGCTGAAGATTTGAGTGAAGCCGCCAATCCTGGCCCTTAGCTGCTCGCAGATCCAGTGCAGGGAGCGTCTCACTCCTCCCCGGGCTGTTCATGGGCAGCCAGCAGGGGGTGGGAGAGGCAGTTCCTGCAGCTTGGCAGTGAGCGCTCTGTGCTGGGGGGCTCGCCGGGATCACCCTTTGCTTCTCTGCGGGTGGCTCCATTGTGGGCTTGGCAGGGCCCCGAAGTGGCGCTAGGTTACTGGGTGAGGTTGCACTGGTCGGGTTCAAGTGGCGCAAAGCAGCCCGGGCCAGCCCCTGTTCTGCAATTTTCTGCTCCCCCGGGCGGAAGGCTGAGAGGCGCTCCCTTAACTCTGCCCGACTGGCAGCCGGGTCCCTGGCTGGTGCCCTATTGCTCCTACCTGCCTGGCCTCTCAGCCCTACAAGAGCCAGATCCAGGCTTCAGCCATGGGTGGAGCGTTGGGTGGCTGCAGAACTTGCTGGGATACAGGTAGGACGGGAGCCTATGCACTCCTAGGCTCCAGGTCAGCCTTGTGTTGGGGGCCTCTTTGCACCAGGCCTGGAGGTGAAGATGTTGCTTATGCCCCCTGCTAGCGGGGGGACTTCCCTGGGGCAGGGGGGCCCAGGAAGGAACTGCAGGTTGGGGTGAGAAGATAATGAAGTGAAATCCTAGTGAGCAGTGTCCTTAGCACCAGTCCCAAGAGAGGAATTCCCAGAAATGGCCAGGGGGGGGCACCCCAGGGCAGGAACAGGTGTAGGCTTGGCCCTTCCCGCGGAGGCTGATTACTTTAAGAGCGGGGGTGGGGCTCTGTTTCTGGCCAGTCCATCTCCAAGTGGCTCCGGCCTGGGAAAGGTCCAGGCAAGGAGAGCGACGCTGGAGGCCTGAAAAGGAGGAATAGGAAAAATTTGGGCCTCTTTAGTACAGCCCTATGAGGAACCAGGAACAGAAAACAAGAGCAGAGAAGGGCTGCAAGGGCGCCTTTGTTTACCCTCTCTCGTAACCTGACAACAAAGAGGGACAAAAGCCGACAAATGGTGACTATTTTTAACACGCACTGTGTGATTGGCCTGTGGAACTCTCTGCCACAAGAACTCACCGGCCAAGAGTTCAGTTGGGGCCAAAGACTCTGACAATATGAGACTCTGTGATCACAGAAACAACAAGGAGTCTGGTGGCACCTTAAAGATTAACAGATTTATTTGGGCATAAGCTTTCGTGGGTAAAAACCTCACTTCTTCAGATGCATGAGTTTTTTACCCATGAAAGCTTATGCCCAAATAAATCTGTTAGTCTTTAAGGTGCCACCAGACTCCTTGTTGTTTCTGTGATTACAGTAGGGTAAAAAATAACCTTGTTTGTCTCCCGTGTCCCTAATGTGCTTGGTGACACTGAAGAAGGGCCCTGCCCCCCCCCCCCCCCAGGGGCCCCAGGGGGTGCTCCCAGCCATCCCCCCGGTGTCACAGCTGAGGCATGCTGGTAGCGGGAGGTGGGTTGCCAGAAGAACTCTGCCAGGCTGCTGTGCTGGCTCCATTCCCGCGGGGGCGGGCGGATCAGGGGCCGACGGTTATTGACGATTGCGGTGTGGCGGGTGCCCACCCGGCATGCGTCAGCTCCCCTCCTGCCTCCATCTCTGAGCTCATTTCCTCCCGCTCCCCTCCCTGACTGCGCCCATTGTTCCCCCGCCCACCCCATAACCCGTAGCGTGCCCCCCTGGCCTGCCTGGCACTGCCCAGGCCTGGGAGGTTGTGCTGCTTGCTGCTGTGCCAGTGACCAGGGACTGGTGCGGAGCAGAGCCCAGGGGAGGCATCTGCCAACGGTGAGAACAAAGCGCAGGTGGGAAGCCAGGAGGAGAGGAGACACGGGCAGGGGGAGAGGGGGGCATGGGCTAGCAGCCGGGGTTCTGAGTTCTAATCCTGATGCTGCCCATGGCCCCCCTCGGTGTCTCCCTCCCATGCCAAAGGGGCATACGGTTATTTCCCAGCTTGGGGGTTCATTTCCTCTCTCTGCCATGATGGGGCCAGGCCCTCAGAGGTGTTCAGGGGATTTCGATTCCCTGGAGGAGCTGAGAGAGACAAGGTGGCCAAGGTCCCTTGGTGAGGGGGACAAGCATTGGCACCCAGGGCTTCTCTGGGGGGTGAGCGCCAGCACCTCCCCCAGCCTGTCTCTGCTCTCCTGGGCCTGGCCCGGCTGGGACTGGAGCTCCCACCGCATCCGGGGCCCGCTCGACCCCAGGGTGCCGGGGCCCCAGCCAGAGCTCCGGGGTCTGGTCCAGGGGGCAGACTGACGGGCCCGTGTCTGGGCTGGGGGCATTGCAAGCTCCCTGGGGCAGAGACCCGGCGGCCGGGCAGCGCCTGGCACAGCGGGGACCTGCCCGGGCGCTTGGACTAACAGCGACCAGTGACTGGCCCAGGCCTGGCCTGGGGGCAGAGGGGGGCGCGCAGGGGGGTGGGGCCCCAGGGGCTCAGACCCGCCGCCCCAGCTTTGCCCCAAACCTCAGCTGGGCCGGCTCTGATTGGCTGCCAGCCCCAGCCAATGGGCGGCCGGCGCAGCTACTCCTTGAATGAAGTGTGTTGTGGTTGCGGAGTGACTCCGGGAGCGGCGGGTGGCCGGACCCGGATCAAAGCGGCGGGCGCCACGGGAGCGGGGCAGCCGACGCGGATCCGCCAGCCGGGGGCCCGGCCCGGCCCCAGCGGGGAGCAGGTGGCGGCGGCTCGCAGCCCGGCCCGAGCATGTCCTAGTCCGCCCGGCACGATGCGGAGCCGCCAGCGCCCGGGACCTTTCCTCTGCCTCCTGCTCCTGCTCTGCCGCCCGCAGCTCGCCGCTGCCCAGGCGGGTAAGTAAAGGCACGAGCGGGCCCGATCCGGAGTCTGTCGAGCGCCCAGCAGCGTGTTAACGGGCGGGGGGGGGGGGTGGCACCCTTGGGTGTCACTGGCTCTGCTGGGGGGTTGAGGAGCCTCTGAACCTGCCCCCCCGCTCGGGTTGTTTGCACCGGCTGGGGAGCGCAGGGCGGAGGCAGGTGGCGGGGTGGGGCAGCTCCCCAGCGGGTGTGGACCCGCCTTAGAGGTTCGGGGGGGGGGCTGGAGTTCTCCCCCTTGGTAAACTGAGGTTCCTTCGCTCTCTGTCCTCAAGTGCTTTGCAGAGGTCGGGGTGGAGGCTGCAGCCTAGTGGGTCAGGGAGCCTCCGGCGGGGGGGGACCTGCTGGGCTCCCCCGGGGCTGGTGATCAGCCGGCTCGGGCCCCCCCGGAGTCACTAGCCGCCTTTGCACAGTTCTAGCCAGCGGCGGGTGCAAAATCAGCCTCTGCCCTGGTGAATTTCTTGGGGCTCTGCCCATTGCAGGGTCAGGGCCTGGACTCAAAAGGATTCAGGTGCCTAATGCCCTGGGAGCTAGGTGCGTAAATCACCTGGGCGGGGCAGGTTCAGACTGTCGCCCCCTTCTGCCTGTTTACGGCTTTGGAAGAGAATCATCGGCCTTTGGCCTGGGATGCCGCCACCCTCTGCTGCTCTGGGGTCGCTTGGTAGTTTTGCAATGAATTGATTTGTTTGAACAGTGGCAAGGCAGTGGATGTGTTGGGGCGAACCAAGCCCCCGGTCCAACGGTCGTGTCCACGCGGGCAGGGCCCTGTCTCAGGATCAGGGCCCAGAGGATCCCCCCCACCACTCCCCCCTGGCGACAAAGGCTACAGCGCCCATGGGTTTGACCAGGAGAAAGCAATGAGAAATCGGCCAGGAAAGCGAATGCTGCGGGGTTCCCTGTCTCAAAATGTGGAGTGGGAATGTGCCGGGCGGTGGGAAGGAGATGCCTGAGAACAAGGCCACGCGGAGAGGGCCAAGTGCAGGACTCTGGTATCTTGCTTTACAAGTTCTCGGTCTCTCTGCGGGGCCTCGGCTCCTGAGCACACTTGACTAACAGGCTTTGGCTCGTTCAACGGCCGGCATTTCCTGGAGCCGGGCCAGCCGCTCTGCGCCCTGGGCACCTGTTGTGTTTGTTTGCTGGGTGTGGGGCGGGAAAGTCACCTCACTTTGTCCACTGGGCACTTTCAAACCAGTCCTGGGGCTGGACTAGGTTGAGCCTGGTGAAATCAGGGACAAAACAAACGGAGCTGTGACCATGTCTTGGGCACAGGAAAATGTGGGTTTATTCCCAGCGGTGCAGAAAGCTGCTCGGAGCGCAAGGCCAGAAGGACCCATTCGCGCCGTTCAGCCGCCGAGCTCACAGCGCTTCGCAATCTTTAATGTGCTGAGCCTCATATCAGGTCCCCGTCTTGCCAAAGTCGTGGGTAGCACCGGCCCTGATGCGTCACCCACACACCCCTGTGCTGAACCCAATGACTTTAAGCATTTCTCAACTGTTGTACGCCTCAGCCAGAAAACAGGAGAAACCCTGGGGCCGCCAATGCCTGAAACCCTGCTATGGAGGGGGATTGATTGGGTGGGCAAATCACTCCCCCCAGTCTCTGTGCCTCAGTTTCCCCACACGATGGGGAAGGAG